GAAGAAACAGAAAAAGAAGGAGGAGGAGGAGGAGAAGAAGATGATGAAGAAGAAGAAGAAGAAGAAGAAGAAGAAGAAGAAGAAGAAGAAGAAGAAGAAGAAGAAGAAGAAGAAGAAGAAGAAGAAGAAGAAGAAGAAGAAGAAGAAGAAGAAGAAGAAGAAGAAGAAGAAGAAGAAGAAGAAGAAGAAGAAGAAGAAGAAGAAGAAGAAGAAGAAGAAGAAGAAGAAGAAGAAGAAGAAGAAGAAGAAGAAGAAGAAGAAGAAGAAGAAGAAGAAGAAGAAGAAGAAGAAGAAGAAGAAGAAGAAGAAGAAGAAGAAAAAGAAGAAGAAGAAGAAGAAGCGTAAATTCCGTATGTACACTAGGGCAGTGCGTAAAATCAGGCCTGACATCACGACTTGCGTAAAATCAGGCATGACATCACGACGGTGAGTAAAATCAGGCCTCATATGATGATGAAGATGATGTGGAAGGCCAAGTCTCACATGGCTCGGTTCATAACACTTTACGCCATACGTCTGTGTCGTGTTTTCTAAACAAACAGGGCAGGATGCGATCCTGGCCCAAAGTAACACTTACCGTTGACAAGATCAACATAACAATGTAGACATGCTAGAAACGAGGACTTGTCAGTCAACCAATCAATCACTACTATATCACTACATCCGGCACAATTATCGCTCGGAGCTATGTCTTTTAGATACTTCTGTCTGCACTATATAAGCTATATTAACACAAGAAAAAGTGTGTTCTTTTTCCTTTGCATTTATAGGCTCTAAACTCTCTCTCTCTCTCTCTCTCTCTCTCTCTCTCTCTCTCTCTCTCTCTCTCTCTCTCTCTCTCTCTCTCTCTCTCTCTCTCCCTCTCTGGTTGTTCACTCACCTCTGGACTGGTCTTTTCTCATAACTTGAGTTTTGCATGCACATCCGTTTTACTGATCTTGCTTATTTGTATGCTTCTTTTTCTTCTTCTATGCACTCGGTTTCGATTGCTCACATCAGTCCATCGGGTGGGTTGCCTCTGTGGACTCGCATGTCAGTAGCAGGTCCTTCATGGTTCCCCATAGCTTGTGTTTGTTCTATTTTTTGCAAGTCTGTCCGCTAACTTATTTCCTGGTATGCCAGTGAGCCGGGATCCACTCGAGAACGATTTGATTGTTTTTTGAGAGTCTGTTTAGCTGGCAAGTCAGTTCTCTCTTTATATTGTCTCATGGATCCACTAGGGTCGCCTGGAGGACTGACATGCAGTCACATAGGAAAACATTTTGCCGTTTTTAATGTTTCTTTCCTCAAGAACTTTGGAAGCATGAGAAAGTGCTTGTTGCTCTGCCCTGAAGTTTGTTGAGAGTTTCCTTTGTTTGGAGTCGTTTAAAATTACAGTACTGGCAGCTAAAGTAAGTACATGATCCTTTACACGCCACGCCAGCTGCGCATCGGGCGTATGGTGCCAAGCCATCAAACAGCGAGCAACGAGTTTCTCTCAGCACTCTATTACATAACCTGTCTTCATGGAAACCACTTGGGATGTTTATAAGCTGCACGCCGCTGTGATAACCATTTACCAGCACTCCAACTTGTCCACCTGATTGCAAGTAATCATCCCCCCCCCCCCCCCCCTCCTCAAACCCAACCTTCTTTTCCTCTGTCCCATCAAGCGGCAAGCAAAGCGATTCCCCTGCATCATATTTTCTCACAGCTCCTACATGTCTGCTGAGAGCCTGACAATTCGCCCTGGCTCACACACACTGACTCCAGCAGCGCTTGGCATCTAGCTAGCTCCTGGCCAACACGTTTCACACCAGTGACTTGACTGTATGCCTTGCCGCCGTGTATTTCCCACGAGAGGAGGGGGGCTAGCAAAAACTTGCATACAGACGATGAAATATTTATCTAGGCTTCTGTAGACCTGCTGTTGATAACCTTAACAACTCCCATAAGTTACACCTGTTATGACAGATAAAATCCTGTTTTTAAGCAAGATTCCTTTCCCGCAAAAAAGCTTTCATGTCGATAAATGTTTTACGCCCGTCTGGATTTCAGGGCCCAATATTGGGGGAAAACAAGAATAGACCCACCCCTCCTTCGAAGTCGGAGTGCATCTGCCTGAGAGGCAAGGAACCAGCAGTCTGCATACAAATGAGTCAGATTTGTAAAATGGATGCACACGCAACACTAAGGTTTTGAAACAGGTCTGCAGTCAGAGGTGGACGAACAACGAGAACTTTCCACCAGAGTTTACAGCCGGTGAATTCGAAGAAGAAGAAGAAGAAGAAGAAGAAGAAGAAGAAGAAGAGGAAGAGGAAGAGGAAGAGGAAGAAGAAGAAGAAGAAGAAGAAGAAGAAGAAGAAGAGAAGAAGAAGAAGAAGAAGAAGAAGAAGAAGAAGAAGAAGAAGAAGAAGAAGAAGAAGAAGAAGAAGAAGAAGAAGAAGAAGAAGAAGAAGAAGAAGAAGAAGAAGAAGAAGAAGAAGAAGAAGAAGAAGAAGAAGAAGAAGAAGAAGAAGAAGAAGAAGAAGAAGAAGAAGAAGAAGAAGAAGAAGAAGAAGAAGAAGAAGAAGAAGAAGAAGAAGAAGAAGAAGAAGAAGAAGAAGAAGAAGAAGAAGAAGAAGAAGAAGAAGAAGAAGAAGAAGAAGAAGAAGAAGAGACCCACCACCCACTGCCTCTCTAAAAAGCACGCCGATGGATGCGACTAATTAGGGGTGGGTGTCTCCTTCAGTCGAACTACATCTGCCTGAGAGGGAAAGAACGTCTACATACGAAAAACAAAAACCAAATCTGTAAAACAGAAATGAATGCAAAATTCCAGTTCTGGACCACATCAAAGTCTAGAAGTGGACGAACGAACTTAAAACTCTGGCCTGAATTTACAGCCAGTCAACGCTGATAAGAAGAGGAAGATAAATATTTCTCTGTCATGAGACTTTTTTCCACAGCAAAGCTCCGATCTCTGATGCCAGACGCCTATGTTGATAGACAAATTGGTTTCCCATGACCAATGTAGTTAACCTTCGGCTACGCTAGCTGATTTTATTTTTATTATTCAGGATTTTATCTAATTGTCGGCTCTGTAGCTAAGTTGATGCAAACGCTTCGTAATGCCCGGATGCCGGGTTCGATCCCAGCTGCGGACCATGCGCCTTGTGTTGGTTTCGACAGTGGTATCAAGAAAGCCGACCGTCCAGTAGGCAATGGCAAACTACTGGATTTAAATTTGCCTAGAAAAACCGCACAACGGCCAGAGGCTGTTGGGGTTGGTTCTGCAACGTCCTGTAAAGGATACGCAACTAACCTTTTATCTTGTAACAACTGTGCCAGGGCTATTCAACTAAATTTTCTCAGGGGGCAAACATTTTGGAAACGAGTATCGTAACGGGCCACAGGCTCCTAGCCCGGTACAAAAAGATCATGTTGATTCGTTGAATAAATAAACATTAATGTATGGTACAAGTGGCAACTGATCCGCGGGCCATTTGCTATGTATCCAAGGGCCACTAGTTGAATAGTCCTGAATTATGGGCTGGTACGACCTGGGAGCTAAGGCCAGGTTTTACATAAAACATATGAACTCGCTGACCAGATGTAAAACACTACACAACATGCCAACCGCACTAGCAACGACAAGCACAGCAGAAGAGGAATGCATTAACACAGGTAAAGCACTGAGAATTGTATTCCGTGGGAAGACAGTGCAGAGATAGCCAGCCACATGAAACCCGCCGATCTACAGGAGTTTTGAGGTTTAAACAACTGATCAACATGATGGTACACAGGTAGTAACCTATAAGTGCTCCGCTCTCCTAACTCAAGTCTGAGTCCAAAGAAGCCGAGCACAGTCCACAGACTCTGTAGCACCGGCGAGGACCCTAAAATACGTTGGGTAGATTTTTCACTCTAAATTTTGTCTGGGCAGCATCGCTAGTCTACTCTTTTCAATTTCAACTGCCAAGGGATTTTTCCGTGCGCAACAATACACATGGGCGTCCGCTCTTGTTACCCAGAGACGCGGAGAATTACTAGAAGTCCAAGTCTACGTGCAAAAATCGTAGCCCATACCGGGGATTGAACCCGGAATCTCAAGCACTCGAGGCAGACGCTAAGCCTTGAGACCAGGCAGCCGCCTCGATCTTCAAGAGAGAAAGCAGTAGACAGTTGGACCGTGCCCCGGGGAGACACTCCAGAGGAAATAAGCGCTGAGAGGGCGAGAGAACAGACCAAGGAAGTAGGAAGCCAAAGAGCTTATGGCGGGCCGTGATTGTAATTAACGCAGACACAGGTGGCGAGGGTGTCTTAAGGAGAAATCGACGGGTTGAAAATGCTGCCGCAGTCAACGAAGGAGTGGGGTGGGGATAACGGGAGGAGAGGTTTGGTGGTGATACTGACTGATCATTTTTTTAAACTAGCAGAATAAATATGATAGCTAAAGTAAATTCAGCTAAATAAGAAGTACACTATTTGTGAGACAAAAGAAACGCGACAGAACAGGAGAAAACGTGTGATGGGGAGGGGGAAGGTGTCTTGGACCGAAGACTAAACAATTAACAGTAAACTGACAGAACGTGTTTGCAGAGGGAAAAAAAAAGAACACAAATTTCAACTTGACACTAAAACTATAAGAGTGAGACCAAAGACTTAACAGTGGTAGCATGGAAACAAAGACTTCAATAGAAGACTAAAAGGTTAACTGTGACACAAGAGAATAATAGCACGGACAGAAAGAACAAACATTTCAACTGGAGACTAAAAAGTTACATGTAACACAAGAGAAAGATAGCGTGGACAGAAAGAACAAACATTTCAACTGGAGATTAGCACTGATACGCTACATTCGGCTACCATCTAAATCAGATGCACAGATACACACACGGCCAACAAGTGAAAGGTTTTGACCAAAGACTTCGGACTACAAGGCACTGATCCGCTACCTTCAGCTACCATCTAAATCAGATGCACAGATACACACACGGCCAACAAGTGAAAGGTTTTGACCAAAGACTTCGGACTACAAGGCACTGATACGCTACCTTCAGCTACCATCTAAATCAGATGCACAGATACACACACGGCCTACAAGCGAAAGGTTTCGACAAAAGTCTTCTACAGCGACAGGATTACTCTCTAAACCAGACGAGGAAGTGAAGTTCATTACGAAACATTATATCTATATCTAAATGAACGTGATCTAAGTGCAAACTTGGTCTTAACGACCCTCAATACTTACTGACAAGGGCGAAAGCGGGCAAGGAACGGCTGAAATATAGAGCTTTTTCAGATGGATGGAGCTCGTAAACAATGAACAGCAATTTATCCTGAAGTGTCAGAATTATGATTTCAAAGCACCTGCTACCTGACAGGTAAGTTTGGCGAAGGCTAAGGAAAGCAAACCCGAGCATAACTGCTACCTGAACAGATGCGCCGGATGGAAAGTTGCACATACGGCACGTGAGCACATGTGCACAGCTGCTGTGAGCTCATATTGTGAGAGATGATACCGTCGGTGAGGGCGCAGAAGGAAGGATTGAAGTCATGACAATGGCCGTCTACCATTGATTAGATACAAAATGACTGAATCATTTACATTTAGCAGTTCATAGCAACTGCACAAATACTTTAAGCTCACTGTGTGAGGAAGACGCACATGACGACTATCAGTGAGATGATGAAGAAAATCAGTGAACATAGTGGCCGCATATCATGAATGAGGGGTAGGAAATCATTAACACAACGACAGGCTGCCGATGACCACGATAGAATACTGCATATACACAAGTCAACAACATCTGCTCAGATACCGTATGCTTCCCCCTCCTCCCCCCTCCCCCCCCCCGTGTGGGTTACGTGCACCCACTGCAGTGGGAAAACAAGAATGGACCCACTGGGTTCCTAACAAGCGTGTCGTAGCAGTCGACTAATTAGAGGATTCCTCTAAAGTCGTATTGCGTCTGCACGAGAGGCAAGGAGCAGTCTACATACAATTAGACAAGATCTGTAAAACGGATGCAGAGGCAAAAATGTAAGACCTCGAGCAAAGCCAATGTCTAGGCCTGGACGAACAACAAGGACTATGCGTCGGTGTTTAAAGCCGGTGAGTGCAAACAAATAATGTAGGCTAACTGTAAGAAGTATCACAGCTGACCACGGTAAAGGAGGAGGGGAACATGCTAGGCAGTACAGGACAATACAGGGCCATTTTTCACGCCACAAGCCCATGGGGTATATGGCGACAGACCCCTTAGCTACTCAATTAATCATCTGGTCAGCATCACAGCCGCTGCTTTTACTTCCCAAGACACTGAATGGTACCTATGCTAGGTTAGGTCGACCTGGAAAGTCAGGGTAGTTATAACGAACTCGACCTCATAGCGATTCGAACATCAGACTATGATGCTAGTAGTACAGTTGTTCAATATAACACCTGTGCTGTTTGGTGGTCCAGTTTACTGCCTTCTTCTTTTTTCCCTTCTCTTTCACAACCATCATCTGGAAACACTTGATAGCGAAAATGAATGAGGAGGAAAATGCAGTAAGACAGTGACTCAGTATCCTCATCATATACTGCAATCAGACTGCACTCTCCGTCAACCCCCCACCCCCAAGAGTCAGTAATGGACATTCTGAATTTGAAAGGGAAACGATGCGTGGGAGAGTAACAGAGAAAAATATCAGAGTTCTTTTCCTTCTGCGTCAGTACTTATAATGACAGGTGACACGTTTTGTTGTGGTTTCAGCTAGGCTGTGATATCTGCGTCTTTCGGTCAAATACATCCCAATTCAGAACAAATCTAGGCCTTTTTTTTAAACTCTTGACTGGTCCAGTGCCACAGTTTGGGGGTAAAGAATAGACCAAACTATCTCCCTAACAAGCATGTCGTAGAAGGCGACTAATTAGCAGTTTCAAAGCTTGGGTACATCTGCCTGAGAGGCGAGGAACTAACAGTCTGTACATAAATAAGCTAAATCTGTAAAACCAGTGTGCACATAGAACTGAAGTTCTCAAACAAGACTTAAAAATCCGCAAGTGGGCGAACTATCAGAACTGTCGGAGTTCACAGCCGGTGAACACGAAGAAAAAGAAAATAACACTGACTGGCAGGACACCAGATAGAAGAAGGCTTCGGTTAAAACAACGACCAATGCTACACACAGCACGGATTTCAAGGTGGGTACAAATGTCTCACTTGTTTCCACGATCACCCGACTGTGATAGTTAAGTGCCTATATAATCGCCACTGGCTGCCAACACTGTTTTCCCCATCAGTGTAATTACCAGATATTTCACCCACACACTAAAAATATGTCAGGTAAATTTTCAGTGCTACATGCTGGGCATTCAGATCGTTACAGGGATGTGTGGCCAGGTTACAATATCTAAACACAGGGTATGTAGGAGGTAGATAGCTGGCAGGTACCTGATAGGAAGTCGACAGGTAGAAATGCAGGTAGGTGGAAATGTAGGCAGACGGCAAGGGGAGTTGACAGGTGGTCGGAAGATGTGGAGATTCATAGTTGATAGTGTAGTCAGTTACGTTACCATGTTTAGTCAAGCTTTCGGCTCAGGAGATTAGATTTGGACATTTTTGTGTTTGTTTTCCTTAGTCTTTGACTGTGCCCAGTCGACCTAACAAGCAGAAGATTCTCTCTCTCTCTCTCTCTCTCTCTCTCTCTCTCTCTCTCTCTCTCTCTCTCTCTCTCTCTCTCTCTCTTCCCGTTGGTGGCTCCATGTGTTTGTAGATCTGCCTGTATAGTATCTCTCCACCCTATTCTAATTGTGCCTTGTTGTCTATTTCCATTCAACCCTCTTGTGCGCGCAGTCTTTGTCTCTCTGCTATAGGATGTTCCCTGTAATTACCCCAACTAATGCAGTCCTGATGCCATGCCAGTAACGAGTGCTGATTTTCACCACTTCTGCGTCGCCTACTATTCATAACTGTTTTTAATATAAAGGTCCCTCTATTTCAGAAGGGACAGTGATGGCATTTCTGTGAGGTTTTCGTTGGCGGGGAAACGGAAACAATTGTGGGGTGACTCTTTGGTGTGATGAAAGAACTACGATTATCTTATTACCCTCAGCGTCATGATACCAGTTGAGTCAAAAATTTACATCAGAGCCCCCAGGGCACTCTCAGGACAATCCCACTCGTGCTCTGTTTCTTCAGTAGCTTTAAAAAAAAAGCCCGCCTGTTTTCCCTTAGTTCTGAATATCTTCCAGTAGCCACACCCGTTAAATTAGTCTTTTAATGGGTGGATTCTCTGATCAAACCGTTAGCACCCCTTTTGTCCCACCAGTGCCTCTCTCTCCAAAATGTCAGGACATACTCTTACTTCCCCACGCCTAATGAATGCGTGTAGCCAGGCAAGGAACTATACGGATGGCTGGACAGACACACCATCAGGATTGAAGACAAGGCCGGACAGACACATCAGCACAATTAAAGGCAAGACTGGGCAGACACACCAGCACGATTAAAGGCAAGACTGGACAGACACACCAGCACAATTAAAGGCAAGACTGGACAGACACACCAGCACAATTAAAGGCAAGACTGGACAGACACACCAGCACAATTAAAGGCAAGACTGGACAGACACACCAGCACGATTAAAGGCAAGACTGGACAGACACACCAGCAGGATTAAAGGCAAGACTGGACAGACACACCAGCACAATTAAAGGCAAGACTGGGCAGACACACCAGCACGATTAAAGGCAAGGCTGGACAGACACACCAGCACAATTAAAGGCAAGACTGGGCAGACACACCAGCACAATTAAAGGCAAGACTGGGCAGACACACCAGCACGATTAAAGGCAAGGCTGGACAGACACACCAGCATGATTAAAGGCAAGACTGGGCAGACACACCAGCACTATTAAAGGCAAGACTGGACAGGCACACCAGCGTTACTAAAGGCAATACCTGGTGAGACGCATCAAAGCAACAGGCCAAAGCAGTCACGCTGAAGCCAAGCTATGAAACAGCCTAAGCAAACCGGCAACCGTGTGAAGCGACTCATGGCCAGCCTTGTCAAAGCTGTTTTCATAAGCGTCGTTCCGACCTGCAGGACACCGGTTTATTTACTGGCAAACACTCAGCGTGTGTCAATAATTTGCTGCTCTCAGGAGACAAAGATATACAGTAGGCGTGCACATTATACACACGGGCGTGCGGCAATGCAGACTAACCATGCATGCAGTGCAGTTTTATGTTTCTAAGCACTTTGCAGAAATAAACAGGCTCAATTTGTTCCGTTGCTTCTCTCACACAAATCGTCAGGTTTACAGTATACCCGAAAAAGGAGCTTTAGGTTATAACTGTGACTATGTGTTTTGCGCCACATAAAATGACTTAGCATGCTCGCCACCAAGCAGCTCTGAAAAGGACCCCTGCAGTGTTAATGCGATCACACGGGACAGACCCAAATACCTGGTCCTACCGGCGACGAAGTAGTCTTCTAGCCAGCAATGTACGACCCGGTCGCTGATAACAGCTAAAATGCTGCTTTCTTCAAATATATTCAGGGTGATGTTTGACCGTGGATGGTAAAGACGACGACGAAGAAGCCGAAGACTTGTACACACACAAAAGAAGATGAAGAGGGAGTAGAAGACGTGGCAGTGCCGGTAGTGGGAGCAGAAGCAGCTGTTATGTTTCCTTGCTTTCAGCTTTCCGTTCCGCTTCGTATTAGAAAATAATTATTCATCTATCATACTAACATGTCGAACTGGTTTGTCTTTACTTACAAGAAGAAGAAGAAGAAGAAGAAGAAGAAGAAGAAGAAGAAGAAGAAGAAGAAGAAGAAGAAGAAGAAAGAAGAAGAAGAAGAAGAAGAAGAGGAAGAAGAAGAAGAAGAAGAAGAAGAAGAAGAAGAAGAAGAAGAAGAAGAAGAAGAAGAAGAAGAAGAAGAAGAAGAAGAAGAAGAAGAAGAAGAAGAAGAAGAAGAAGAAGAAGAAGAAGAAGAAGAAGAAGAAGAAGAAGAAGAAGAAGAAGAAGAAGAAGAAGAAGAAGAAGAAGAAGAAAGAAGAAGAAGAAGAAGAAGAAGAAGAAGAAGAAGAAGAAGAAGAAGAAGAAGAAGAAGAAGAAGAAGAAGAAGAAGAAGAAGAAGAAGAAGAAGAAGAAGAAGAAGAAGAAGAAGAAGAAAGAAGAAGAAGAAGAAGAAGAGAAGAAGAAGAAGAAGAAGAAGAAGAAGAAGAAGAAGAAGAAGAAGAAGAAGAAGAAGAAGAAGAAGAAGAAGAAGAAGAAGAAGAAGAAGAAGAAGAAGAAGAAGAAGAAGAAGAAGAAGAAGAAGAAGAAGAAGAAGAAGAAGAAGAAGAAGAAGAAGAAGAAGAAGAAGAAGAAGAAGAAGAAGAAGAAGAAGAAGAAGAAGAAGAAGAAGAAGAAGAAGAAGAAGAAGAAGAAGAAGAAGAAGAAGAGGAAGAGGAAGAGGAAGAGGAAGAGGAAGAAGAAGAGAAGAAGAAGAAGAAGAAGAAGAAGAAGAAGAAGAAGAAGAAGAAGAAGAAGAAGAAGAAGAAGAAGAAGAAGAAGAAAAAGAAGAAGAAGAGGAAGAAGGAGGAGGAGGAGGAGGAGGCGTTACCCTGATGTACGAGACATTTATATAGTTGCGTCAGTATCATTTTGTTTTTGCCTACTGAATACTGAATAGCAACGTTCCTTGAGTATTTTTGTAAAACTGACCGATTTTTTTTAACTTTTTTTCTTTTGGGGGTCATTGACTGTATTATTCTGTGCTCGAGCTGGTGGTATGAGGCAAGGCTGCTATATCCGTGTATTTTCTACCAACATATCCCATTTAAGGAAACTCTTAATGTCTACTTTTACGACATGCTTCTTAAAGGCACCCCCCTTCCCAATGGCGCCCAGGAACCCACTCGCAGAGACTAACGGTATCAAACCAAACTCCCTGCTCAAAATAAAGACCAGAAATAATTCTTGATGTAGAGATGAAACTTTTTCCACGCAGGACACTTAAGCTGGCCGGCGTCAAAGAGTCTGCAATGTATTTTTGCCTGCAGTTCGCACTTTAATGGGAGACGGGGAACAGGCAAAATTCTTGTTTAAAAAACCCATCGCGGCTTGGGGAGAGATAAGGGAGGTCTTGTGTGTTTCCTTTTCTAATGACTCAACATAGCAGTCGCAGAGAAGCGTGTCACGTCAACATCACTCCACTTTGATGTTCTATAGAAGACTTTCATGATGAAAGAACTTCTGGATGTTTTAGAGAAGCCGTGGTTCAGATAGACATCACTCCACTTTGATGTTCTATAGAAGACTATCATGATGAAAGAACCTCTAGATGTTTTAAAGCAGCGTGGTTCAGATAGACATCACTCCACTTGATGTTATTTAGAAGACTATAATGATGAAATAACTTCTGGATGTTTTAGAGCAGCGTGGTTCAGATAGACATCACTCCACTTTGATGTTCTATAGAAGACCATCGTGATGAAAGAACTTCTGGATGTTTTAGAGCAGCGTGGTTCAGATAGACATCACTCAACTCTGATGTTCTAGATCCACTTTGATGTTCTATAGAAGAACATCATGATGAAAGAACTTCTGGATGTTTTAGAGCAGCGTGGTACAGATAGACATCACTCAACTCTGATGTTATTGAGAAGACTGTCATGATGAAAGAACTTCTGGATGTTTTAGAGCAGGTGTGGTTCAGATAGACATCACTCCAATTTGATATTCTATAGAAGACTATCATGATGAAAGAACTTCTGGATGTTTTAGAGCAGCATGGTTCAGATAGGCATCACTCCACTTGATGTTTTATAGAAGACTATCATGATGAAAGAACTGCTGGATGTTTTAGAGCAGGCGTGGTTCAGATAGACATCACTCCACTTTGATGTTCTATAGAAGACTATCATGATGAAAGAACTTCTGGATGTTTTAGAGCAGCATGGTTCAGATAGACATCACTCCACTTTGATGTTCTATAGAAGACTATCATGATGAAAGAACTTCTGGATGTTTTAGAGCAGCATGGTTCAGATAGACATAACTCCATTTTGATGTTCTATAGAAGACTATCATGATGAAAGAACTTCTGGATGTTTTAGAGCAGCATGGTTCAGATAGACATCACTCCACTTTGATGTTCTATAGAAGACTATCATGATGAAAGAACTTCTGGATGTTTTAGAGCAGCGTGGTTCAGATAGACATCAGTCCACTTGATGTTCTATAGAAGACTATCATGATGAAAGAACTTCTGGATGTTCTAAAGCAGGCAGGGTTCAGGTCGACATCACTCCACTTTGATGTTCTATAGAAGACTATCATGATGAAAGAACTTCTGGATGTTTTAGAGCAGCGTGGTTCAGATATATATCACTCCACTTTGATGTTCTAGAGGAGACTGTCCTGATGAAACAACTTCTGGATGTACTAGAAAAGCGTGTGTCAGGATGAAATCACTGTTATAACTTAGAGGTGGTTGTCTCAGGAAGATATCAATCCACCTTGTTCTTCATGAGGAGCATGTATCACAGTGACTTCGCCCCACTTTGGTGTACTAAAGAAATGTCCCTACAACTTTCTACACAGGCGGCCCACCAAAACAGAGTAAACCGCCCATACAACTGATAACTCAAAATGAAAGAAACACACACGAAGACGGCTGCTCATCTGTTTAATACCATGTCACATAATTAAAACTTTTAGATGATGCTGCTGCTCAGATGTTGAACTACCTAATTATATGGCTGGAGCGTTGTTTCTGATAGACTTGGACATTTCTGCGGCCCACTGGAGGGTTGTCGCCCATGGCTGAATAATATTGTAATAGAGAAGAGTGTGTTACGATGACATCATTCCGTTTTGATGTCATAGACAAGCATGAGTCAATGATGACATCACTGCATCCTAATGCCCTAGAAAAAGCGTGTGTCATAATGACATCACTTACTCTTGATGCCCTAAAGCAGTGTGTGACATGATGACATCACTCTATCTTGATGCCCTAAAGCAGTGTGTCATGATGACATCACTCTATCTTGATTCCCTAAAGCAGTGTGTGTCACAATGACATTTATGTCCTAGAGGAGCGTGTGATAACATGACATTACTCTATCCATCTTGATGTCATAGAGGAGCGTGTGACAGTGACAGAACTTAGTCTGAATATTCTTTGGAGTCGTGTGCCATTATGACCTCATCTCCCCCCCCCCCCCCCCCTCCTACTTTCTGATGTTCTAGAGGAGTGTGTTCAAACGTCAGAAACCACGTTCAACAGTATATAACAGTTATATTAGGTCACCTGGCGGGTACGTAACGTGTAGTTTGGGCTGTTAATAAGGACTATAACTCCTGTAGCGGCTTTATGACTGCGGAACCACACTGCCGCAAAAGCCAGTGTAGCGTTGTACGCGACAATTTAGCACCGCAATTGTAGGTGAGGCAACCGAATATCAGCATAGTTTCAGCTACGATCGTCCGAATTGTTTTCTAATATTGTGCGGTGTTATTTGTCGAAACCAGTTACTTTCGTTTTTAAAAAAATGCAATTAGGATACACTAAAAGGCCAGCCAGCAAAAACTTTTTAGTTAAAAAAAAAAAAAGAAGAAGAATAAAAACCAGGACATTGTTCGGGAGAACATAGGGAAACATTAAAAACGCCCAGAACTCGTGCTACATGTTTATAAAAGAAACAAAGACAACCAAATATGTTGATATGTCGGAACGTGCAACATAAATCAATACAAATAGAGAGAGAGAAAAGTAACCACTGCTGTGCATTTCAACAAAGACTTTTTGAAGCTTGATTTCACTGTAGCTCCTGTCAGTGAACTCTCGCCCCGGCCAATGTGGTTACGTTTAGAAACTCGGTAAAATGAGGCTCCGAAACCTTCCAAACTTGCTCGCCATTTGCATTTAAAGCATATACATTTTACTGATAAGCCAATGGATGTTTTTTCCAAGATGACGTGAAAGATAAAAAATCAGGGAAGTCAAATGAAAGTGATGAAAACTAGAGACAAGACGACAACCCCGTATAATACTAGGGAGAAATAATTAAATGTACAATGCATTAGAAAAAAAGGACACACAACCCCCCCCCCCCCCCCTTCCCAACACGTCGATGAGGTAAATGGTGGAGAAGGAGGAGCAGCAGCAGCAGAAGAAGAAGAAGAAGAAGAAGAAGAAGAAGAAGAAGAAGAAGAAGAAGAAGAAGAAGAAGAAGAAGAAGAAGAAGAAGAAGAAGAGGGGAAAGAAGAAGAATAAGTTATAGAGAAATCGAGATGTCTCGCAATCCAACTTGATCAATCAACTGACCTGAATAACCATGCTATATTTCATGGCTTCCATTAGTAAAATGAAGATGGAGGACGTCTTTGTTGCCTTGACTTACCTGTACGGACGGACCAACAGTTCAAAATATTTAATGATCCAGGTGGATAGATTCAAACGCAAGACTGAGACTGGAGTTAGCACGCCTGACTGTGTACGGAAGGCGCTGAAAGCACTACTCCGCTCCAGAGTAGTTACCAAAATGAAAGAAGTCGCACACCCATAACTTTGGTCACATATTGTCGGATCCACCGGAAGAACCTTGCAGCGGAAAAGCTTTCCATGGAACTAACAGTGTGATGAATGACGCGGTGAAGATCATCAATAACATTGGCAGACTTACTTTGAACCCCAGGCTGTTGACGACACTGTCTGAGAGCATGGTCTCACATCACCATCTCGTTCATTCAGAAACGAACTGGTTATCGGGTGCAAGGATTCTTGCACGCCTTTTCGAACTGTTGGGGGGAAGTAAGGCAGTTCCCGCGACAGCAAACATCAGACCCACTAGGGCCAGCCACTGTTGAATGAAGAATGCATGGCTAAGCTGGTACATATGGCGGTCACATGTAGATACCTTAATGAACTTGAGAATGTCTTTAGGGGACCTCTACAAATGTTGACTCTCTCTTTACCCCCCCCTCTCTCTCTCTCTCTCTCTCTCTCTCTCTCTCTCTCTCTCTCTCTCTCTCTCTCTCTCTCTCTCTCTCTCACTCAGTAAATGAGTTCACGAATAGTACTCATCACAGCATTTCTTTGGTCGGACAGGTCAGAATATGTTAGATACTTCTCGGCACTTCTTTTGGTCAGAAAAAAGGAACCCGGGGGGGGGGGGGGGGGGTTGTACCCACTATAATTAATAAAAACTCTACTCGATATAAATTTGAATCCAAGACCTTTGGGTTGGTAGGGAAGTGTCTAGCCACTGTGCAACCGTGCACATTCAGAATCGTATTCATCTGACACAACCCTCATAGTTATACATCGGTCTTCATAGTCTGACTCTTGGCCATGAGTTCATCATTACCAACAGAGACTGAACGTCCCGGCCCAGCTTCATCTGTTATTTTGTCCACACCAGTTTTCAACCATGAATACCACTCGATGACTGAGATAAACGTTAACACCCATTCACTTGTCTCATCAAGTCAACTGTCTGGATAGTTATTTGTTTCCCCTAATTGTAAAACATAATTTCATATTCTTCTTTGCCTCATGCTGCTTGTGTAACAAAGCTACTCTTAATAGCTATAATACATCATGCGTCATTTGTCTTAATTGTCGTATGCTGACCGTGCGGCACTGCAATTTTGCGAAAACAATAGAGCAATGATCAGCATGTTTAAACATGCTTTGCTTTTCAGCTGTCCTTGTCCTGGCCATAATAAAACCAGTCTCTACAACAGAACAAGTCTCTATAATATAAACCAGTCTACATTTTTTTTAAAAGGCTCAACTGATTGACTCTCCGGCTGAGTAGGTAGTCATGTAAATTCTATAGCTTCTGACGGCGTACTGACGGTCCTTGAATACTGCTTAGAGGCCACTATTAGTGACTGACTTTTCTGCTACCAAATTATATATAGCTCTTTCCTCTCTGTCTGCCCGCCTATATATCTGCTAGCTTGCCTATCAACTTACCAACCTATTTACATATCTAAAAATTGTTCGCTGTATGTCCATCCATCCGTATACCTATATGTTTATGTATGTCTGTGTATACCTATATGTATATTATGTGTATCTGTGCATACCTATGTTTATGTAGGTCTTTGTATACCTAAGTTTATGTAAGTCTGTGCATACCTATATGTTTATTATGGGTGTATGTGTATACCTATATGTTTATGTAAGTCTGTGCTAACCTGTGTGTTTATGTATGTCCTTTTCGACATGTTAGCCCTGAATAATGTTCGCTGAATAACCCTGATCGACATCTTAAGGTCAAAAATGACCTTGGCTCCCAAGTCGACCCAGTCTTGAGTGGGTACCAGGCGCAGTCCTGGGAAGTAAAGGCGGTAGGTGTGATGTTGACCACATCACCCATCAAGAGCCAATTTGTCTATACAATATCGTTCTAGTCTCATATGCCCAATACGCCCAGAGGAGTGGAAAAGGGTCCTTTACATTTAGGGCACTTAGTACGGGAGACGCAGCATCAATGGGCACGCCCGGTATGTGGAGATGTCGATCCTCAAACCAACAAATCGTAAGACACACAGCCCAATACATCCCATTTCAGAAAACATCTAGGCCTATTTTAACTCTGACTGGTCCAGGGCCACAGTGTGGGGGGAAAAATAGACAAAACTAGCTCCCTAACACGCATGTCGTACAAGGCGCTGAAATAAAAACTAAACTGTGACATGCCTTATTCAGGACATAAAGAGGTACAGCAGTTATCGGCATATACTGACAGGTGATAATAAAGAGCGACATCCTAAAGAAGAGGAAATGCAACCTAAAAACTATGTAATGTCAGGGCAGACCAGGCCCGTAGCCTTGGCTGGCAGCTGGTCTAGGAGAGAAGCTCTTGACAGGCGGAGAGACAGAGCACTGCTTCTGCATCCTGCTTTGTTCCAAACGTACTGGTGTTACCTTTCCGCTATAGTAAATAAGTCAGACCGAGTGAGGGATCACCGATGCATGGGCAACATGTGATCTCTACAATACTGCCCAGGCTTTGTTCTATGGAAAGGAGGGACTTGTTTCAGATCTCCTCATACCGCAATATAACACTTTCGCCTGCAAAGACGGAAAGGTGTCAACAAAGAGCCATGCTGGCGGGTTTCTTCAGGCTGTACAATTAGCAATGACGACGTGCCAACCCATACAAGATCTATCAATCCGCGACAGACAACTTCTGATCCCCACAAAGACTACAGATGCGTATCTACGGGACGTGAAATAAATATCCAAGCCTGCACACAGCGTGGCGTCTGCTCCAAGTAAGTGGTCTTTATCCTTAGCACTTTAAATTTAAAAAAAAGACAGCCCTAACGGCAACACAAAGCCACAATACCGATGCCGTCAAGATTGAAAACTGATTAACCGCCAGGCGTATCACTCCGCCTCTTCTTCTTCTTCAAAGGAGTAAAAAAAATGTTCAATCAGTAAGTATTTTTTAAAAATCACCATATGTTCACTGACTGATAACCCGCATGCCGGTCCCTAGCCCGGAAAGTAAAGGACGAGGGTTAAGCGCAGGGACAACTATGCCACCCAATAAAAAAAAGTGTGCTACAGAAACGCGGGAAAAAAGTTTTAAAACAAA